CCCTCTACCTCAGCTCTGCAGAACCCACCATCCTCCCTATGAGCAGATGCACAAGCAGGTGGGGTTCCCACTTCATTATCCAAAGAATCAGGGGGTGAAAAGGGAGTGGGTTTGTCCTTGTACTTACACGTCACACCCAATTTCCAAATATTTACACAGCACCGTGTCTGCGTCTCGCTAGCCACACTGCCTCTTGCTTCTCAGGAGAATCACGTCTAGTCCTTTCAGGGATGTAGAGGGCACAGCATCTCTCCCTACTGAGCATTGGGAGCCCTAAGGTGCCTGGCTGGTGTTGTGTAGGCCCCTGAAGACTCAGCATTTGCCCCTGAAATCTGGAAGACCCCAGAGGCTTCCTAGCTGCTGTCCCCCACCTTTCTAGAGCCTGAAAGTCAGATGTAGCCTTTAATACTTTCTAAAACTTTCTAAAATTACGTACGTACGTGTGTGTGTGTGTGTGTGTGTGTGTGTGTGTGTGTGTGTGTGTGTGTGTACACACTGGAGATCAAGACTAGGAGGGCCTCATACATGCCACTTACCACTGAGCTACAACCCCAGCCAAAAGCATTATGTTAAGAGCTGATCTAGGGCTATGGACACAGCTCAGTGGGTGAAGTGTTTGCTGTGTGAGCTGAGGTGGCTCCCTAGCATTTACACACACACACACACACACACACACACACACACACACACACACACACGCAGAAATATGCACACGTACGTGCGCGCGCGCGCGCGCACACCCAGGAAAGGCACAAAGCTACACAGAGAAACCCTGTCTTGAAAAACCAAAAAAAAAAAAAAAAAAAAAAAAAAAAAAACACCACAAAACAGGCATTGAGTGCACACTTGTCACCCCAGTTCTGGGGAGAACACAGGACTCCCTGGGTCTCATTGGCCAGTCAACTTTGGACTAATTGGTGAGCATCAGGTCCCGATGAGAGAATCTGCATCCAAAACTAAAATAGATACCTTCTGAAGAAAGACATTCAAGATGGACTTCAAATTTACACACACACATGCATCTGTACACACAGGAACGTAAGCACACACATAAAAAAATTAAAATTAAAATTAAAATCCTGTCTAGCTGCTGTTTAAATCTCGTTAGTTAGCCCTCAGTCACATGGTCACACCAAACAGAAAGGTTTCTGTTGCACAGAATGAAGGGAGAAAGAGACACATGGAAGATGAAGCTGGAAGCTGCTACACATATCCTGAGCTCCCATGAGTCTTCAGACCAGTTGCTTGTTTCAGTCCTGTTGGAAGGCACTGTGGAAGGAGAGCTTGGGAAAGGAGCCTGGAACCTTGGGGACCCTGGGCTGGCTCGGCATCTACTATGTCATGGACTTGGATGCCCCCTCCCTTTGCTTTACCTGTTCAGATGTGGAGTGGTAACGGGACTCCAACAGCAGCATCTCCAGCCTCCTAATCTTCATCCTTATTCTCCCCATCTCCATCTCATTTTCCCTACCCTCCTCCCCAACCCCCTCATCTCCCTTTCTATCCTCCCCATCCTCCTCCTCCCCATCCCCACTATTTCCCTGTCCTTCTTTTCCATCCCCATTGTCCCCACCTACCTCCTCCTCACCCTCCTCCTCACCCTCCTCCTCACCCTCCTCCTCACCCTCCTCCTCACCCTCCTCCTCA